CCATGTATCTGTATTTTATGCGAATAAGAGCATTCGTATGCTGCCGGCATGAAAGCCACCAGCATTCATACAGTAGTTTCACGAACAGTGAATTTCAACACTGAAACGAACAAAACTACCGAATGGGAGACCACACACAGGAGGTCGTGTGGCTCCCATTAAATATTGCAACATGTAGCTTTTGGTAGTTATTAAAGATTCAGGGTGGCCGCCGTTCGGATACCAACCACGCGGCAGTCGGCCATCTTGGATCCTTTGTTAGTATTTTGTCATTGAGTGCCTGGAACTAAAATCGGCTACTCGACGGCACGAATACCGCTGGACTTCCAGGCCGTTCAGGAGTACCGGTCTTTCGGTATTTTATCCCTGCGGGTGTATTCGTGTCTTTTATGCAAAGTGTATATTGAAGTGTAATTAATGTGGCGTTTGGCTGGATGTGCTGGGATCTGAGCGGTATTTTCATGAAATGTGCGCTCAGACCCCATCTATCTACTGAACGGTCATTTGGTATAATAGGATGGATAATGTCAAAGTTATGTATTTTTATGTGAAAAGCCAGTTCTGCTGCACGGAGGGATAATCCACTTAACAGGATATTCTAGTGGGAGTATCCCTCTCGTGCAGCAGTGCATGGTAGGAGAAATATCTTGGTTGTTAAGTTCCCCATGTAGTCCCCTACTGTACAACCTCTGTAAAGTCAGTAGGGAAACCCTTTGCATGGGGAACCACATAAATACTGTGACCTGTGATTAAAAGCTCAGTTGACTCCCAGCCTATGTGTCGTCTAGTTCTTGGGAAGGAAGGATTTATTTAATGCTACCGGGATTATGGTATGCTGTACTGATTTTACCTGGATTATTTTATGCTGCTCCTGTCTACCAGCGGAGATACTGTGGATTATACTACCTCATCCGCTACATCCACTATATGCAGGAGAGAGGGAGAGAGTATTGAAACAGTGTAATATCGTCATATCACAAAATATATTTAAACATATTAAAACTCTTACGTTAAGAAGCAGTGAGTTCTCACAAAGAAACACACAAACTGCACGAAGACATCAGATAATAGCTTAGCTCACTGTATAACTTCAGTATTGACACAGGCTCTATCTGTCAAGCACTTTCAAGCTTCACACTTGCTCTTGGCTCCTCTCACTGATGTCAGCCGGTCCAGGACGCATTTCGCCTTGAAGTCACATGGACTTCCTTTGATAGGATATTGGCATACCTCTTACACTAAATATCGTTCATCTATGCCATTATTCCAGAGTTATTGGACGTTTTCCAAATCAATCATTGCACACATTACATTGTATCCATTTGCATTCAGATTACCCTGTGATAGGCTCTTGCACGTTTTTCACATATAAATATAATTTAGAAAGAAATATCCAAATTTACAAATACATAGTTTCTAATACCAATAACATAAAAAAGAAAATGAATAACAAAATATCGCTTTTACATTCACCACATTTTACATAACGGGAATATTCACCTAAATTTTCAACTCGAAAATATAGAAATATCCTAATAAAATAGGAAAAAATATCTATTTATCTGGAAAGGAATTAATGAGATATTATCTTAAAAGACATACCAGAACACATAAAACAGCATACTTTAAATATCTGCATACAGCTTGTATCAGGAAATGGAAAAGGAAAAAATTGAGACAATTTTCATCAAAAGACAAAGGAAGATAAAAAAAGAGAAACTATTTAGAAAAATCATTAAAAAATGGCAAATTGCAAAATCGATATTGAGACCCAGAGTCTAAAGTCTGCCATTTAAAAACTCATCTCAAACTCATCTCAAAAAGCATAATCTTCACCTCTTCAATTCCTAAAAACTTTGCATATCCTTATATCTTTTGGATTTGTTCTGCTGGATGCTTGGAACGGCTATGGGCACCAAGTTTGTGCCCAGCTTTGCCAACCTATCAATGGCATTTTGGGAAATCTTTTTTAATTATGGTGATCGTGGGTGGGCAAAAACCTGGTGGCCTATAGCCGTTACAACTATTAACTTACACAAACAGCTTCATCCATGTGAGAAGGCTGAATAAAATACATGTACGTGTATATATATATATATATATATATTTTTTTTATACATGTGTCGTGATTGAGCTACCATTTAGCCCATATAAACAACCACTGGAAGCGATAATTCAACTTATCAATGACAAATCAATGAGCACCTGGGTGTTAAGGTTATGTAATAAACGTGCTATGATTCTTGGGAAGATAGCTTAGAAGCGGAAAAGCCCACTGATAAAAAGCAAGGGAAATCAAAAATGAAAACCTTAACTGCTGCAGGCAGAGCTTATGATCACCGTAATTTTACGGAGGAATTTGTAACTTTAAATAGAGGGCAACACTGATCTCGGCTTTAGAACTCACTGGGAATCAAGATATACAAAGTGCATAGGTAAAATGCTAATGACTTTAAATCCCAATAAGCTGAAGAGCTGATTAGGGAAAGCATTCACCATGAGATCGACACAGACTGACACTATGTGTCCTCTTAAAATAAACAGTACATTAATTTAAACAAGACACAGATGAATATCTGATTAGAAAATAAACACACTGCGAGTCTTAGTTTATGGTCATTGTTTTGCTATTTAATTAGTTTAGAATTGATTTGGGTAATATATAACCCAGAGCGTCTTCTCTCTCCTTCAACATCTCGGAGTGACATCAAAGGTATTCCAGAGCAAGTGGCTATTAAACAGTCACTCTGCTGTCTGTTCTGTTCCGTTTACTTTTCCCCTTGATCTGTGAAACATATTATTGTACTAGTAGTGTACTATTGGTGCATTTCAAAATATAAACATAATATTTATAGAATGTATATATTTATAGTATGTATATAGTTATAGTATGTATTCATAGTTATAGTATGTTTTTTATTTATTTTATGTATATAGTTATAGTATGTTTATATTTATATTATGTATATAGTTATAGTATGTTTTTTTATTTATTTTATATATATAGTTATTGTGTTTATATTTATATTATGTATATATATATTGCAGTACACTAATATGCGCATTTTCATGCCATTTTTTGTTGAAACAGTCCAATGACTCAATTTGTCCGAACTCAAAGAAGTTCGGGCAAAGTTTTTTTTGGGCCTTGTACAAGTCTAGAATTATACCATTTGTTTACGTATTTCATGTTCATATATTTACTATATTTGCTTGATTATTAGACAAAGTTCTTTTTTCTGAAAAAAAATGTCTGAAAAAACAACCTTGTCTTATAAACGGACCTCGGACCAATTATACCGATTATCACACAGCACCAGGTCATAAGCCAGACCTCTTATAATCAGACCTCCTATAATCAGACCTCAGATCAGTCCAGCCCAGAGGCGGAACTATCGCCGGTGCAGCTGTAGAGGGCCCCATCAGGTAGCCATGCAGTTAGGGCCACCCGATGGCAAATGTGTTCTTCATATATTTTCGGAAGCGTGGGTGGAAGTGATGGATGGTCACTTCTTCCCAGCTAACACTGAGACACAAACAAGGCTTTCCGAGAGGAGGGGGAGCAGAGAGGGAGATCATCTGAGCCAGCTTTCTAGACCCCAGGGAAGCCACCCTCTTGCACCCATGTATGTCTGTGTACAAATGTATCTGTGTGTATGTGTGTCAATGTATCTATCTGTGTCTGTATATCTCTGTATTAATGTGTGCCCCTGTGTATCCACGTGTGCCAGAATTTCTATGAGTGTCATTGAGTGTATCTGTGTATCTGTATGTGTGTCATTCTGAGTGACTTTGTATCTGCATGTGTGTCAGTGTGTGTGTCTGTGTATCTGTATATGTTAGTGTGTATTTGATTTTTTTTTTCCCCATAGAGTAGTCTTATATATAGGCCTTGTTATTTTTTTTCAACAAGATCCAACATTTTGGGGGGGCAGAGGGGAAGGTTGTCTTATAATCAGCAAGTACGGGGATATTCTTTTGCCAGTATTTATTGTATTAGCTATCCAAAGGATCTGTTTCCTGCACATCATAGAGATGGTGAGTAATTTGTAGGTATCAGAACAATCTCTTTTATCATGCAGAAGATCGGTTGATTATGTCACCTTTTATGTTATTTGGGAGGGATTGCCATCCATTCCATGAGCTCACGCATTGTCATCATACGTTAGCTGATATCAGGACAATAAAGGAGAGATTTATTAAAGTGGTGAAAAATCTCCTTTATTTTTAGTCTGTAATTTGTTTATATTTATTAAACAGTCTAAAAATAGTCTTTGAAAAAGTCAGATTTGTTCTGCCTAAATTCCACAATTTTTCACATATTTATTAATATCAGAAACAAGTCCAAAATTTAGACAGGCAAAAAACAATTTTCTGGAGGAAAATATACTGAAAAGATTGATAAATATGTTGCGTCGCCAGAAAAATCACATACTTTGGCATATGTCAAACTAATGATGATTAAGGAGTAAAAGAAGCAACACAGTATAAAGAACTGCCAAAAATTCACCAAGAAAGCTGAACCTTGGCTGCAACACCTTAATAAATCAGTTCTATATTATTAGTCCATTCCAAGGAGGGGAGGGGGGGAGGCCACGTCTTTTACTGATTAATAAACGTGGCGATCTTTACTGACTGGTTGTTTTTTTTTATTTATGGATAAGAGTGTGAAATCTTGTGCTTAAAATGTATTAGTAAGTAATTAGTAAAAACATTATAGTAAGTATGTCAAAATGTTAATTAGTTACCTGTTTTATTGGTCAGAAACTATTTCATTTATCAGGGTGAACACAGAAACAGCATTGTCTCCCTGGCCATTACAATTGATTTGAAATACATTGTCTGTAAATTAGAGAAATTAAAGGGACACTATAGTCACCTGAACAACTTTAGCTTAATGAAGCAGTTTTGGTGTATAGAACATGCCCCTGCAGCCTCACTGCTCAATCCTCTGCCATTTAGGAGTTAAATCCCTTTGTTTATGAACCCTAGTCACACCTCCCTGCATGTGACTTGCACAGCCTTCCATAAACACTTCCTGTAAAGAGAGCCCTATTTAGGCTTTCTTTATTGCAAGTTCTGTTTAATTAAGATTTTCTTATCCCCTGCTATGTTAATAGCTTGCTAGACCCTGCAAGAGCCTCCTGTATGTGATTAAAGTTCAATTTAGAGATTGAGATACAATTATTTAAGGTAAATTACATCTGTTTGAAAGTGAAACCATTTTTTTTTCATGCAGGCTCTGTCAATCATAGCCAGAGGAGGTGTGGCTAGGGCTGCATTAACAGAAACAACGTGATTTAACTCCTAAATGACAGTGAATTGAGCAGTGAAATTGCAGGGGAATGATCTATACACTAAAACTGCCTGATTTAGCTAAAGTAATTTAGGTGACTATAGTATTCCTTTAAATGTAAACTAACCTTTTAACAAATCACATTTATTTGGATATGTTTTAAAGCTTTTATTTTGTCATTATACTAATTTTATCATTGTACTAATATTAACAGTTGTCTTATCACTTGATAAAAAAAAAAAAAAAAACACTTTATTCTGTTTTATTTCAGCTGTCAAAACAAAAAATCAACATTCCAATATTTCAAGCAATTAATTGCATTTTGGAACATTTTATACTAATATTTTTTTCTTATAATTGTTTTTTGACTCACGTCTTTTCTTTAAAAATAAATATATTTTATAGAAAAAGTGGGAATACTTACAGAAAACATAAATAAACAACCATGTTTTTTTATTTTAAAAACAATGAAACATCCAAATAAATAAATAAATATATATATCCCTAAAATATTCTATGAACAAATACAGTTTTATAGTCTTCATATTATTATCATCATTTTTAATATAGCGCCAGCAAATTCCATAGCGCTGTTATACATTCCTTATCTATAAAAAGAAAGTTTGCCTGGAGTACAGCTTTATATAAAGTAAAACATGACTAATTTTCTTTATCTACATAAATATATATATATACATAGCCATATATACATATATAACAGAAACCACATTTTATGTGACTTGTTTCTTCAAATCGCTGCTGATGTTTTGTCCTAGTTAATAAAAACTTAGAAAACACACCTTAAAGTTTAAAACTATTAAGTGATTTTGCTGCAGGTCTATATAATTAGTTGAGAAAGTACAAGGTAACGAGGTATATAGTGTAATGTGCTAACTCCTGCATCGAAGGTGGGAAAACCAGAGCTACTGAACACATAGCTCCAGTATAATAGAGGAAACCTAGAATTACAACACAAATCAGACTCTGACGGCCCCACAAGAAAAGCCTTTTTGTACCAAACACCAGAATTTTCTCTAATACGATTTATTTCAATGCCCGAACCAAGAATTATTGCAAATAAGCGTTATTGAGTAATACACCAGATCTTTCAGCAGCAATTTTCAAAGTAGTTTGCCTCTGTGGGTAACACAAAATAGCCAGAAATAATACGACAATAGAAAACGTTCAACATTAACCTGTGAGGTGGATCTGACGCCCTTTAATACGTATAGTAACAGCACTCAAGGTCTTCATACCTCGGCAGATTTATTGCAAATACAGGACAGATACAAGGGACCCTTACCTTTATTTGCCCTTAAATATGTAGGGAACAGTGACCAATCAAAAAGATTTCCAGACAATAAACAGATATGAATCTTGGTGCGACCATTTGCCCACCCATTCTTTTCATCTGAAACCATCTTTAATTGTCTTCTAACCATCTTCCTGATTTCTACATTGCTTAAGTAACAGACAATGGCATTGTTGTTTGCTAGTTATGGACATTTTAATAGCCGCCAATTAACTGCTACTGACCTTTCCTTCAACGACCCTTCTCCACATCACTTCTGGCATTCTCAGTTTGACAAAACAAAAGTGGGTTTTACACCTTATGTTAATCACTCATTCTTAAAGAGACACTCTTGGCAACAAAACAACTACATCTTAGTGTAGTGTTGTTGGTGTTTAGATACTATGCCTTTATTTAGACAATGTGACTTTTTTTAAATTTATGAGAAACATTATTGTATTTACTTGTCAGAGAATCTGCCTTCAGTGGCGCTTCCAGTGGCTGCTAGAAAGACAACTACCCGAACCACTTCCTCATTGACGACATTGGAGAACGTTAGGTCAGGTAGACCATGACAGCGCTAAGTGTGCCTAACTGAAGTTCAGAAACTGTTATCAATCAAAAAACTGATCAAGATTGTAATAAAGGCCATTATTTCACAGGCTGCAGGCCATCAGTTACATTTTCTCTGCAATTCCTTTGTCTCACTACACACTATCACCTTTAGAGTGCAAGCTCACAGGCTATGTATCTGTATAAAAGAGCTACAATGCTAGATTACAGACCATAGCATTGCACAAACAGCAACTAATTGGAAGTTAGAGCATTTAAAATATTGTTATCTCAGTAACATATACATTAATGGTCCATGTGTTTTGTTAACATTTTTTTAAAATTTATGTTTTAACATTAGTTCCCAACCTACCTGCTGTGAAACTCTCATTATGCAGTGAGCATGGGTCGTAAAACATTCTATAAAATATACAAAATAAATGATCAGACAATCGATATGAAGGCAAGATGCATGCACCACAACCTTTTTAGGACAAGACAAAAAAAAAAAGTGGTAACATTTAACCAAAAAATATTTAATTTCAACAAAAATTAACACAACACCTGTGTAGCTGGAAATGTTTACGGACTAGTGACAAATTGAATACTTTGTTTACAGGTGATATATATACCACACTGCTTAGCTAGTTATGAGTGTAGGTCTTGGTTTCTCATAGTTACTCAGTAGCTTCCGTCAGTTCTCTAATATGATGACTGGGGACTATTCATTCAATCAAGAAGTTCTTGTGAGCTGGCAACCAACTTGCAACATTTAGGCTAAGATAGAATAAATTTACGTTTACAAAGGTTACTCAGTGATTTGTAACCTTTATGCAACTGGCTAATATTATGTAACTTATTAACTTATCCTCCATCTGGGGCTAATTAACCTCATAACCAAGGCTTTAGCCCCCAAAGGCCATCGTTTTGGAGTGTGGTGTTTGAAGGGACACTCCATTACCCTAAAAAACAAACAAACTAACAAAAAAAAACACTGTTCAGGATATATAAACCCAATGAAAACATTGTTTCCATTTTGGGTATATGTACAAACAACTTAAAAAGCTGTGGAAATCTCCACCCATACTTTTTGTGATGTTCCAATCACAGACTTCCCAATGCAGCTCAATGAGCTGTCTTTACAAGGCAGGTGCTCTGGGCAATTGCTGCCTCTTGTGATTGTCTCCACTGAACAAAACAAACCAGGAAGTAACAGGACCAGTTGTCTGATTGACAGCCAGGCGGGTGTAATAAGGTTAATTTACAAAACTGCTAGTTTCTATGGAAATCTGTACTTTTTGTAAAATGAAAAAAAAGAGGACATACTTGTTACACATAAAGACCTTCAGCAAAATAAAATGCTTTAGGTGTTTGGGTGGGTTTATGGCTGCACTGAGATTTGCACGTTACTGGAGCAGAAAAAAGAACATCCAAACACCATAATCTATGCAAGGAGCACATATTGTTAGGCCGAAATGCTCGTCCGGGGTTGCTATGTCTCTCATACAAAGAAAACTTGCAATTTCTTTTGGTTCTGGACTGCCATTATGGCTGAGATCCGTCTGGTTCAGTTTGTAATGGCACAAGTGAGCAAACACACATTGGAGACGTTAGCAGAGATTTATGGAAGGGCAAGCTACTGAGCTTCTCTAAGTTCTCATACTCTGTTTTTGCAGCACATATTGTTACTTTGTGCTTTGAACTTGTCTCTGGTATTCTATTCTATATTCACTCCCAATATTACACGGCTTGAAGGTTTTATTCTGATATAATACCAGATAATTCATACCTGGGATCTGAATGACATAACAAATGCAATCCACATCAATATCTCTCCAAAACTGCCTCGATGCCCGGCTCATTACGTTCTGCAATCTTCCCATCATATCCTGGTCATAGACATTTTCACAATTACACAAATTATGAGTAAGAGATCCAGAAATGCATCGCGGCAATGTTCCCACCGCCAGGAGGGTATTATGCGGAGACTCTTCCCAATGACAAGGTTTAAAGATTTTTTTACGTGCAAAATGTTCCCTGGAGTTTTACAATATTACATTATTAATGCAAACAGATTTTATTGGAAACAATGAATAAAATGCTATCAATAGCAATGCAATAATGTAATAGAATTGTCACATGAAAATGTATTATGTAATAGTGCATTTATTATCTAGCTGTGGAAGACAGGTCCACATTATTAAAAGAACAATTAATCATCAGGTCTATGTAAAGAGTCAGAATGGATATTCAAACCCAAATATTACACTGGGGGTTGCACAAAAGAACCCAATACTTTCATTTCAGGGGTGTGACACGGGGAGTAGCCAAGGGCAGGCTGCTCTGAGATATTTTACATGACTTCCTAATAACAATTTATCCAACTAAAATATAATTTATTAAAAGAACAATGTATCTTGTTTACACAGACTGATTTCTAAACACATTTATTATAGTTTAAAGTCACATTGCTGGGAGTATTATTGCTGTGGAGCTCCGTTATACAACCAGACACATTACTGGGAGTATTATTACTGTGGAGCTCTGGTATACACTCAGACACATTACTGGGAGTATTATTTCTGTGGGGCTCAGTTATGCACTCAGACACATTACTGGGAGTATTATTGCTGTGGAGCTCTGTTATACACTCAGACACATTACTGGGATTATTATTACTGTGGAGCTCTGGTATACACTCAGACACATTACTGGGAGTATTATTTCTGTGGAGCTCTGTTGTACACTCAGTCACATTACTGGGAGTATTATTGCTGTGGAGCTCAGTTATACACTCAGACACATTACTGGGAGTATTATTGCTGTGGAGCTCTGTTATGCACTCAGACACATTACTGGGAGTATTATTGCTGTGGGGCTCAGTTATGCACTCAGACACATTACTGGGAGTATTATTGCTGTGGAGCTCTGTTATGCACTCAGACACATTACTGGGAGTATTATTGCTGTGGGACTCAGTTATGAACTCAGACACATTACTGGGAGTATTATTGCTGTGGAGCTCTGTTATACACCCAGACACATTACTGGGATTATTATTGCTGTGGAGCTCTGTTATACACCCAGACACATTACTGGAAGTATTATTACTGTGGAGCTCTGTTATACACTCAGCACATTACTGGG